GGTATTAACACTTCACGTGATTTTGATTCTATCCCTCTCAATGCAGCCTAGGACTGTGTTGACTTTTTGGGCAGCTGTTTGTTCTGACTAGTTCCAGCTCGTGTTGTGTTTCATCATAAAGCCATGAAGTAGTAGCACTACTAATACTATACATGATCCAGTCTGGATTAGATATCGAGGCAGATAATAGTAGAGACCCTCAAGTCACCCACCTATTCACTGTCAACCCAACCTATCTGACACATCCTCTTTGAATTCCCGGAGAAAAGATACGCTATAAATCTAACACACATACTGGAATTGGCTTTCATTTTAAGACAGTATCTCTGCAACTAACCAAGGGCTAATCCAAGGCTACTTTACTTGAGTTGCAGAAATCAGGAGATAGGCAGCTGACTCTGGGATAATAAGAGTTGTCTGGATTGTTATAGTCCAAATCTGATAGCAGCAGCCTAATCTTAATTATTGAGTACAGTAAGTCAAGGACAATCTGTATAATTTGGCCCTAAAAAAATGTCTATAGAGTTGTGCTGTACTGCATTGTACCATACATTTTAAAGATCCAATCTGAGTATTATTACAGATGCTGAGTTGAGGGAATTGAAAACTAAGCAAAATTGTTTTGGTCCTCCCCCCCCCCCAGTCCGTATATTACACACATACAGTAATGATTTCAGAGATTAAGTACATATCTCTATGTTTTACAGAACTAAATTGACTGAAATTATAGATTAAATTATAGGAAATTATAGATTAAAAAGTTTTTTTTACTTCATAGTCATTCCCACTTAAGTCAATTGTGCTTATTCTTATAAATGCATAGAACATAGCAGTGATAGAAACCCAAGTGTTTTTTTATAAATTTGAATAATGTCAATCAGCATAATGAATGGGAGTTGTAGTTCAAAATATCTAGAAACTATGAATTGCATTTAATCTTGATGTTGAGCATTAAGAAATGAAACTAGGTCAGAATTACTAAAAAGCTTATGAGTACCACAAACCCCTGTACTAGCCTCTTCAATGTATGTGGAAGTATTAAACAGAAGCCATATCTCCAATTTATGAATTGGAAATTCCAAATTAGAAGGTTATGACAAGGCATAAATTGCCATTGTTTGAACTTGTCTATTTGACTGAAGACAAAAATGATAACATGTATATTGCATGCTTTTGGAACTACTAGTATTCATTCAGCAACCATTCATTCAGCAACTGTTCAAAGTTACAGCAGCTCCAAGTAAGAGGAACTTACAATTGGCCCACAAAGTTGTGTCTGTTGCAGTACTCCCAAGTCAGGTGATCACAACCCAATCGATCAACTGATTACATCGCAGCAAGTCACAGTCACATGAAAATAATTTCTGATGTTCTCTACTGGCTTCTCAGGAGGGGAACTAAGAAAATCAAATACAAGACACATGGTTGTTTTTTTTTTCTTTGTTCGGTTTATTCGTCAGAGACAAAGAAGGGAAAATTAGAGAACTTAAATCCTTTTGAAATTATACTGGGTCGCTGCCGGTTCTGTGACCAAGGCAAAAATACCACTACCGGTTTGGCCGAACCGGAAGCAACCCACCTGTGCAACAGGTACATAGAAATGAACTATATTTATTTATCATTCAAAAGAGACAGAAAAGCTAAGGGAGAAAACAAAAAGATCAGAACATATCCTCTCCAGCAGCCAATACCCATAGAAGCAGGGATTAACCCCCTTAAACAATCAATCAAGCAGAAAACAATAGCCTAATCAAAGAACTGCTAAGGAGAAACCACACAAACCCCACCGAAACAGGCAAGGCAAGCTTCTGTTTATAAATAGGGAAAAAAACCAGTGGTGGGTTGCTCTTACTGTCGCTACCGGTACGCTGATCGCAGTCTGTTCGTGCACAAACTGGATGTGCACTATGCATGCACCTGATGAGCGCTACGCACGCATGTGCAATCCACCGCCCCTGCGACAACCAGCTGTTTTTTGGGGCTCTCGCAGGCACCGCATGCTGTGTACTTGCACACTTTGCCATTTGCCACAAAAACAGCTATAGAGCGCGGGCGGGCGGGTGGGCCAAACAAGCCACTGTACCGGTATGCTCTCAACTGCTCCTGACCACTACCGGTACGGCCATACCAGGCCGTACCCGCAGCAACCCACCTCTGGAATAAACCCCATGCTCACTAGCACTGATGATGCTACCTAGTCAGATAATGAAACATCTGTAAGCAAACAACCAAGCTCAGAGAGTACCAAGGACTCCATATGTTCCAAAGGATTCTATGGAGCTTCCTTCTACATAAGCAATCTCAGGATCCCAACTTTCAAACATAGCTATAGCAGCCAGATAAACTGTTTCTGTACCGTGCAGCAGCTTGAGTTTCCATTTACTGTATCTTTAAATAGTTCAATAGTTATTTAGAGAGCTTCAGCTGCTTTCCCAGCACCAAGGAATAGAAAACCTTTTACTTTCCGAAAGAAAGGTTTCACCCACAGTCTCCAACAGATATCAAAGCTTTTGCAGTCTACTAATCTCCAAATCACTTCTCAAACAAATTAGATTTTTTGTAGAGTGCAAGTCAAAAGATTTTTTCCTCTCTGCTGAAACCAGATCTTCTCTCTCCACAGTCAATTTCTGAGCTTGGGACTTTAATGTGACTGTCCCTTATCAGATCAAACAAAGGCAGGAAATCCTGATTTAGGACTGTTATGGGCAGTAAGTCTATAATTCACCCTAAGGCAAACCCATTGAAAATTTCCCAATGCCTTTCATTCTCAAAATATCTTTCTGCTGTATGCCCACAAGCAATTGACAAAAACAAATGACATTCTTTTTAAGGAACGTGCCCTTTCATTTTGTCATTGTGGTTTTTACATCTGGCAGCTGGGCATTAAAATGCTATTGGAAGAAGTTTCCATTCAGCCGGAGTGCAGGTTAAGAATGTGTATGCAAAACAGTTTTGATGTTTTCATTTCTTTCCCCATAACATATTTTTAAAGCAATAACAAAAATTAGTATTGCCATCTACAATATATTTCTTAAATCTAAATACTTTAAAAGTGAAATTTCTTTTTTATTTTAAAATATTGATTTTCAAATCTTTTCTTTTAAAATACCATGATCTGAGGTTAAACATGAGGAACTTCCTCCTTATATAAGACTATAAAGGACAAGAAGAAAAAACAACTTATTTAGTTTAGCAAGGAATCTGACCAAAAGATTTCTTAAAATGGAAGTTAGTAAACAAATGGGTTAAGTTGGTTTAGCATTCTCTCCCTTTCAGTTGAAGCCAGAGGTTAGCTAAAGAGAAAGCAAAGATTAATAACCTGCTCCCCTAAGATCTCCTTAGTATGCTTCAAAGTCCTTCCCTCAAGAAACCTTCCAATCAGTTAACTGTCCCCACTGTGGTTGGGTAGGGTCTTCCCACTATAAAGCTTTGCCTCAGAAAAATTCCAGCTTTCACTAGAGGAGAACAAATCAACCCAGGGATTTTGCTAGTGAGGAGAGCAAACCGCCACTGCTCTGGCAAAACAGATTTCCAGCTGCTATGTGGC